TGGTAACTTCCTAAATATCAGGGGTAAGATCACCCCCACCACCACCAACACCAACACACCCCCCCCCCTCCTTCATTTTCCACTTGAAATGCATCGAAGATCGGTCAAGCAAGGGCAGGCTAGTAGGAAACAAAGCAACCTCACATTTACAGATGGGAGAGTTCTATCAACATCCAAAAATTGCTTGAAAGGCAAAAAAAAAGTCATCATATGTTTTATTGAGGTGACACAAGCATAAAGTAGCTATATTATCACCCCCCCCCCCCCCCCCCGTGCCCCGCGGTTCCTATACGGCCATGGTGCGTTCAGTCCTTTCCATCCCCATATAGCAACTAACTTTTTTGCTGTTCTCAAACCATCTGGAAAATAATGCGATATTGTACACCTTGAGTACTAACGTTATCATATCTTAGGAGGCTTCCCCTTTTTGCGTGTATAAATCACGCTCATATTGTTTCTGCTAACACGCAGCTGAACAAGTTTTGAGAAAAAATATGTATTCATTTAAAATGTCACCAAAAAAGTCACAAATTGCATGAGCATTCATATGCTGAAATAAATCAAAAGAATTCGTTAATATAAGATAAAGAAAATGATATACAAGTGTCTTCTGCTTCTCTTACTTTTAAAAGTACAATATTTCTAGACAAAAATATCTTTCTTGTGGTCAAACATTAAACATGCATGATTTATAATGTCAAACATAATATTCATATAATTTTCTATACTGAATTTAATCATAAATAATATAAAAGCAAGGTATATACCTGATCGCATACGCCCATGTAAAGATCGAGATAAATCTGCACATATTTACGACAGAGTGAACTTTCTGATAACAAGTTCAGAAGTGATAAATTTTTAAAGGCCTTTAGTCTGATTTCCCTGTTTGATAGTAAGTGGACTGTAATTAAATTTTTGTGGATATATAAACTTGTCATAAATTGAATATCTGGGGATGATAACTAAACACTTTCGATGCTTAACAACCAATATGAGTTGTTGACAGTGTGGTCGAGATTTTGAGAGTTATATTCTTCAAAATGTCAAGAAGTATGGATCAAACAATAATATTAGCCACCTTTTCTGATGAGCTATGCAGCGATAAAACATTTTTCGAACGCGTTCATGTTATTTATTGTGATGGTTCATGATAGAGTCCTTAAACCACAGTTTGTCCGCATTGTACGGACCAAATCTGGTCAATGCCCTAACTCTAGAAAATAATGTACCTAAGTCAAGTATATATGTATATCTATAAAGAACCGGATTCCTTCGTATACTGAGAAGCTAGAGATCATCTGAAGGTGCCATAGGTTCTACCAAAGCCTTAATTGTTTCAGTCATTTGTCAAACGGACCTATTTGATTTTTTTTTTAAATCTTGTTTCTTGAAATGCCTATTAATTAGATATCACCATATAATTCTTGTGTATTTAATTTAAAACCAGAGGGTATAACTATTTTAAAACTCTTTGCTATTTTCTTCCATTTAAGTAAGATAACAGACCTAGTCAATGTGAACCTATCGCCCAAATGCTGAGGCATAAAAACTTCCAGCAGAACAAAATGTAATCAATAGTTTAGCATTGATATCTTGTTGTGAGAAAAGATGCCATCTGAATTATAGTCCCCCTTCCTTGTAAATTTGTGACCACACCACAACTAATCCACTCTCGTTGTTGGTTCATCAAATACTAGTTTTAATTACAAAGACTAAGTAATAAAAGAAGAATAGTATACTCTTATATAAAAGCCTTGGCCTTTATAAAAAAAAACTAACTTTAGATCATGAACTCTTAAACCAACCAAGGAAATGCGAACCACTCACATACTCACATACTTTGTCTAGAGATGTTGTTGGATAAGTCCATCTGAACACTTTTCCAACAATACAATTTTCTCGGGGAAATTATTTTTATTGTTGAACCCCCCCCCCCCCCCCCCTGGGCATTTTTGTTGCTGACAGTCTGACACGAAGAGTGCATACCTTCTCCTGAATATGAAAATAAACGTGTATCGGTAACATTTGGTAATCCCTTATCATGAATGCGTGATCTTTCATAATGCTAACACACAAATATAGAAAATCTTTTTTTTTAATGTTTTTTATCCTTTAAAAATGTTGATCAATATATCTGAACACAACATAAACAAGGTATAGCGGTCAGTGAAAAAAGACAATAGGTGTCATGACTGTGTACCCTTAGTTAATTACTGGTAAACATCAATGGCTCTGATGTTCTTTCACAACCGTGTTAGGGTTTTGAAAACCGATTTTTTTAATCAAAACAAAGTATCAAAATTGTATTGACGGATTAATATTGTGCAAAATGAGACGATTATTTTGATATCCATCATGGACTTAAAATAATAAAAAGTCGCTTTAATTTGCTAATAAAATACTTTGTAGCACATCTAAGGATGCAACGGTTTATGTACAATATAAAAAAAAAAAAAAACAAACAAAAAAACAAACAAACAAACAAAACAAAAAAAAACAAAAAAAACAAAAACAAAAAAAACACAAAAGAAAACAAAACAAACAAAACAAAAACCAATAAAAAATCCACTATTTCTTGAGGATATCATCAATGATTGACTAATTTGTTGTATTTTCAGTTTTGAAAATAAATAAATAAAGAGATTTATACTTTTATAAAATTATTTATTCTTTTATTTTATTTTATTTATTTACTATGTAATTATTTCTATGTAACCTGTTTTATTCATTGAATAATCGAGTGACTTTGTACCCTTTGTAAAGAAAAAAAAAAGAAGAAATGACAGCAGGGGTACTGGCACATTTTGGAATATTTTAGTTTTTAAAATCAATACAATAATTGATTTTAAATAGTTAGTAAATAAAGAATAAACTAGTTAACTGCATGTATTAAATCAATATTAAAAAAATCTTTTTAATTTTAAATTGACGATACAAACAAATTATATAATCATATACCCGAAAATGGGATTTCTTTGGATTATTTTATGTAAACTGATTTACGATAAATAGCTATCAAAGTATTTTTTAAGCATATTAAAACGACTTTTTATTATATTACTTCCGTGATGGATATCAAAATAATCGTCTCATTATGCACAATCTTTACCCGTCAATAGTTTCTTTGATACTTTTAGTTTGTTTTAATTGAAGAAATCAGTTCTCATACAAAGGGAAATTGTTATTTCAAACAGCTGCAATCTACACACGGTCGTCCTGCCACAACAAAAACAAGGAATAGCGGTCAGTGAAAAAGATAATAGGTGTCATGACCGTGTACCCCGAGTTAATTACTGGTAAACATCAGTGGCTTTGATGTTCTTTCAGAACCATGTTAGGGGTTTGAAAACCGATTTTTTTAATCAAATCAATGTATCTAAAATCTAATTGACAGATTAATATTGTGCATAATGAGACGGTAATTTTGATATCCATCATGGACTTAAAGTAATAAAAAGTCGTTTTAAAATGCTAATAAAATACTTTGTAGCATATTTCAGCAAATAAATAAAATAAAACTAATAAATCAAATTTTGGGGATATAAATGAGTGATAAATTAAAAAATAAATAAATAAATTTATATAATTCTAATTATTTATTTATTTATTTTGAGTGATAAATTAAAAAATAAATAAATAAATTCATATAATTCTCATTATTTATTTATTTATTTATTTTTCTATCTATTTATTCATTCATTTTTAATTCAGTCTATTTGTAGATTTATTCACAAAAGAAAATTACTTAAAAAAATAATATAGATTTATAGTTTATTTAATATTTTTTTATTTATTACTAAGACGTTTATTTTATTACTGCATTTATATATCATTCATTTCAATTAATTTTTTATTCGTTTAATTCTTTGGGAAAAAATATCCCATGCATAGATTTGATAATGTATTCCCAAATGTTTAAATCTTTCTTTTACAAAGACAGTTATTACGCTCAAAGATGTTTCAAAGTTTATCAAATTAAAAATGAGAAAGTTTATAAATATATATAAAAAGTTCATAAAGTACAATGTATATGCCGTCTAGCATCACAAGATGCAATAATTTTGTAATCTATTTCTTCTTTAGAATCGATGCAATTCTCCCCCCAAAATGCTACCAAACTAAAAAAGTCACATTGATACAAGTAATAGAAACTAAATTACAGGGGATTTAGTTAAGGCATTTAAAAATGTGTGAACTTTTTACTAAGTCTATATTTAAAAAATAAATAAATAAATAAATAAATAAAATAAATAAATAAAGTTTTAAAGACTCTACCATTTTTCACTCTGAAATGCAACAAAAATATATTTTAAACTCCTTTTCTTTGCCAAAATAAACTTCAGGGGACGACAGGGAGTAGACAGGGAAGGCAGGGACAACGACAGGGGACGTCAGGGACTGGACAGGGAGATCAGAGAATGTCAGGGGACGACAGGGAGTAGACAGGGAAGGCAGGGACAACGACAGGGGACGACAGGGACTGGACAGGGAGAGCAGGGACAACGACAGGGGACGACAGGGACAGGACAGGGGATCATAGGAGAAAGTCAGGGAGAGACAGAAAAATGTCAGGGACTGACAGGGGGACAACAGGGGATTTTTTGGAATCTAAGGGGATATATAATTCAGTAGTGTATATGAAAATGCATTTTTAAAAATGTGTTATACTATAATTAATATAGTTGTTATTACTGAACACCTATTTTTAAAAATATAAAATAATAATATCATAGTCTAAGTAAGTGAACACCTTCAACCACATAATGTGCATGAAAATCACCCCATTTGCCAAACTCCGACTTGATCATATTCTTTTTTCGTAATATACCAGGGGCCTATATACTAGTATATTTGTCCCTGGTAATTAGCATATAGGTCCCTGGTGATATACCAATATATAGGTTCCTACTGAAGTTCAGATATGTGCACCACTCACTCACAGCCACTATTCCGGAACAATTTATCTATAGCGACTCGATTTTTAGACACTCCAAGAAACTAGTTCCCCATATTTATAATCAAAACAAAGACCAGTTTATTGAAGAATGGGATGCCGCGAAAATGTTCATCTCAAACTGGTGGTATGATGAAAATGCTTTAAAATGGTAAGTGACAGAGAAGGTTAAAGTAAAAACAGTATGATGATTAAAAAAATCTTTTACATTGATTGATCGACAAAATTCAATACGCGCTGAACTCCTGTCTGAACAAATTCGAACTGTAAGTGTATTTTGATTAAATGCACAATAATCTTTATTTCCTATCAGATTAGAATAGCTGCTCTGAACGACAGCAGCAGTGGATTTGATGATGACGACGTCAGGAGTAAAGCAGTCGGAACAAGGGAAGCTGAGGTATACCTTTATACTACAGTTAAAATTATTTTACTTTTTCAATGGGCAGGCACATTGTTAATTTGTTTTACCCCATAAACTCCATCACTACACTAATTTCTTCACTTTGAATAACAAATTATCCTTCTTAGTGTTATATGCATGCTTTATGAATGTTGTTATTGAATAAATTGGGAAATTACTTTAATCCATTATATTCATAGAAATAGTGTCCAACTTTCTCTGTAGGAATCAGAAGCTTACACTTTGTACAACAAAGCCCTTGGACTTCAGAGACAAGATATTCAGAAAGCAGAAGAGGCATTTGAGCAACTTTTAAGTCATGGTTTCATCAGAGAGGTGCTTCATTAAGAAGTTAATTAACAGTGTTCAAAGAAATACTTATTTTTCTCAGTTTATGCTGTACACTTATAGTTTTTCATACATTTATTTTCTTCTTCCCAGTGAAAGAAGTCTACTGAAGAAGCTGTTTTAGTGATACAGTAATTTTTAAACTAATACATATATGTTGAATTTTTAAAACAAAATAGGCAGCCAAACTCATTGAGACGGAGACAGTGGGGATTACACATCCTGGACTTCAACTTCTGTACTCCATCTACAAAAATCTGGCCGCCATGTCACTCCAGAAGGGGGACCATGAGGAAGCAATGGAGTGGTACATAGAGGTATGAATTATGGTACACATATACCAGGCTTTATTTTAACATGCTACAAAAGTTAAAACTTGTACTCAGGTATGATATTGCTGTGTTCTCTTCTTCTTCAGGCAGTCAAAGTTGATGAATCAGAGACAACGGTTTGGTACAAGATAGGGACAATAGCTCTGAAACTTCATAATTATCAACTTGCCAGGCTAGGATTTGAACAGGTATGAGCAAATATAGTATGTAAGGATCTTATAGAGTTATTGATAAAAAAAAAGTGTTGGTTTTTTTTTTTACAATAAAAAAAAAAAACTCAAAAATGTTCAATTCAATTCACTTAAATATTGATAATTACCATGTTGTCATACAGTCATGAACATTAATAACATATTAATTCCTCTGCATGGCAGGTACTTAAAGGATTTCATTCTCCATTTTCAGGGCCTGCAGTGCAACCCAAATCACTGGCCATGCCTGGACAACATCATCACAGTTCTATACACCATCAATGATTACTGGTGTAGGTTTGGTATATTTGTCTTGAAAAAAAGGAGTTTTCTGAAGTATACGATAATTGTTACATGTATTAGTCTAGTTTAAGTAACAAGAAAAGGAAGAGGAAATAAAAAGAAATGCAAGACAAAAAAAAAATCACAGATTCATGAGTGACTTAATAATCAACAAACAAGAAATAATTTGATTTCATTCTAGAAAAATGTTCAATAAGGTAAACTTATCAATAAAAATCACTTTGAATTGTCAAAATACTGTATACAGGAAAATTTTCGCCCCTGTTTTATTTTCGCCCATGTCACAAGTGGGCTAATTTAAAATGGGATGAATTCAAAGAACACAGTATTAATTCTAAAACAGAACTGTTTCTGGGCGAATTTAAAATGGGGCATAGATGTTAGCAAGTGTAAAGGAGTGAAAATAAAACAGGGCAAAAATAACCCTGCATACAGTAATAGAGATATTGAAGGTCTTTTTAATATGTAAAAATCAGAGTTGTTAAAAGTTCAATTTGATAAAATCAATGCTACTTTATGTCTGATTTTCAGATTGTCTTTACTACATATCCAAGGCTTTGAAGAAGGACTATTTGTACCCCAAGGGGATTGTTTTCAGGAATCAAATACTTAAAGAACAACCATCCCTAAAAGAGGCTACTCAAGAAATGTTTAAAGAATGGTAAGATGAACATTTTGAAATAAAAAAAAAGTTAGTCATGAAACTCCTTTGTCATTTATATGAACTACGATGTCTGTGGTATCCCAAATTCCAAATACCATGCTATAGGATACAATGTATTGGTACTGAGACATAAAAAATACTCAAGGCAATATAGAATTCAATGCTTGTTATCTTTTTTAAAGCAATCCAGTAATCGATACAGAGAAAGTTGAGCAAGAGGATATAGATGAGGTATGTGTTCTTCATGAGGATTCTAAGGTTATATCTCATTTTGATCTGTCTTCCTTTTGATAATTGAAATTGATATATAAAATCGTCTGATTCTGAAGCTCTTTTATATTCCTACAGTATGTGAATGAGGCATTGAAGATGCGACAGAAAAGAAGGGAATTGGCCAGAACTCCCCCCATGAAACCCAACAAACTGCCAGTCCCTGTAAAATCATATACGTAAGTCACGAACTGTTGAGTCTTATATGCAAGTAACAAAATGTCAGTTGCACTTCATCCATAAACTGGAAGTTTGTATGAGTTATTGACTATTGACCTGTAATATAGCAAACTCTCTAAGAATTTAGTGTTTTTTGAATTTTTTAAAAATTTTATATCAGGTGGTTGTCCTTGGGTGAAAGCTTGATTGCATTGTATGACCAAATAAAGAAAGCCACCCCACCAAAGGTTAGTTCAAGGCTATTTCTATTTCCATAGTTATCAGGATATGTAAAAATATTCACACAAAGTAAATACATCTTGAAAATAATTTGGAACTATTTTAGACAAACTTTTTTTCGTAACAGAGTTTGAGTATCAGGGTTGACTTGAGTGACTATGCCCCAGACAGAAACAAAAGTAAAGAAATCCAAAATGAAGCACCAAGTGAACCTGCCAGCTCCACAACTTCCTCTTCAGAATTGCCTCCACCTATAGAAAAAATGGATGTCTCAAAACCTGAGGAAATGGAGGTTGATCACACCCCTTGGACAGAAAATGTGACAAACGTCATCTCAACTGATAATATATCTGACACTGCTGTCAGTTCAACTACTGTCAGTTTAACTACCACCAATTCAGCTGTGGTCAGTTCAATTGTCAGTTCCACTACTGTCAGTTCTACTGCTGTCGCTGTCAGCAGTGATACTGCTGTAGTTCCAGCTTTGCCTGCTAGTGACAGCATCCTTGCTACCAGTAGTGACACTACTACTGCTGCTCCAGAGAGTGTAGTGATAATGACTTCTGCCACTCTGACCTCTGAACCAGAGAATGTTACTGTGACCGTGACCTCTGAACATTCAGATGTGTCAAATTCATTTACAACTCTGTCTGCTATTCCAATTTCAGGTATGCTAAACATGGAAATTTAAATATTACAGTACTGCAACCCATACTACATCTATTTGTACTTAATTCACTCAATATTCACAATATGTTATCTTTGTAATTTTGAAACACACCCAGTGCAAATACTTGTAACTTTTCAGCAAATCGCATGGAACTTTCAAAGAAATTTCTATGTCAATTTTTTTATAAAAATATATCTCTTATTTGTTGAATGTAGTGACATCTGCATTACAAGATCACCCTGGGTCAGAGAATAGTGACACAGAGAGCAAGGGCAAAGGGCAGAAGAGGAAGAAATCATCAAATTTTGATAACCCGTACTACGAAAAACGGCGATCAGCCAGGGTAAAAGGAAAACAATATATAGATTGAAATTAATAAGTTAGAGAAAGATTATGTATTAAATACATTAAGGGTATTTTACATTGTATGTACCTTTCAGTTATTATCTGCTGTGAATTTTATGAGGAAATTTAATTGTTTGTACATTTACTTACACTTTAAAATTGATTGTCCTGAATATTTTGATAGTCTTTATTTTGGAAATCTTTTATTACAAAAATTTGACCATTTAATTGTGTTCATATTAAAATTCTGTGATATCTTAAATATTACAGATATTAGAATGCCTATATAAGAGATATTACTTGATGATAAATTGAATTTACGATTGACTTTGGACAGGTGAGGAACACTTTTACACGAAGAGAGGAGGAACGAGTGAACTTCAGAGAGATTCTAGAGACATTTATACCTCCCAGTCTCAGGTAAACAAAAAATATGATTTTGATAATGAATAATGTCCAAATAAAACAAGTTGTGCATTTGTATACACGTAGTTGGAATTTTGAACTCTTTAGTTTTCCGTAAGTCATTGCGTGTGTATCTACATGTACATGAATATTTTTGGGATATACACAGCACTGTAAGTGTTTATCAGCACCCTTTGGTTAGTGTCTAATGTAGTAAATAATCTTGGCCTATGAATATTGCACACATGTAAAAGAATAAAAATGCTTACAGCGTAAATTCGTAACTGGACTGATAAGTATATGATTTTACAGATCAGGCTAAATTTTAAATTCACCTAAATCTGTAAGCACACCTTTCTTGCACATTTTTGATGATAATGACTATATTTATGTAATTGTCTATGAAGGTCTGGAGTGGATGAAGAGGAAATGGAAACTTTGGATCTGGTTTCTGATAGTGAAGGATCTGTTTTTACTAAAACTGATAAAGCTGGTAAGTAAGTCATGCTTTATAGAATCAGTTAGTACAGTGTAATTCACTCTTGAAAATGAGGGATTCTTTTTACTAAACCCGATAAGATTGATTAAATACCATCTATTTTCTTATTGTCACACTTTATAGAATCAATTACTTTTTGACCCTCTCTAATGAGGAATTCCTTTTACTAAACACAATAAGATAGATTTAGTTCCTTTTATCCTTTATACATGTGAGTACAGGTGAGTACCTCGCACAATAACACAGCCTAGAATCTAATCTAATGGATTAATTTCAGAAAGTGCAGCAGTATCAAAAGCAAAACCATTATCAGATACAGAGGAAGATGATGTCAGAGAATTCCTTGAGAGAGAACAGAAGAATGGCGGCCTGCTTAGTTTAATGTTACATTTCCTGGAGTCGCTGTGTGATAGGGCAGAGCTGGCCTGGCCCCCAGAACTGGCCTCAGTCTTTGTCAGGATCTATACAAGATGGAGGAAACATACAGACCTGCCATGTTTACTCAGGTTAGCAAATTTAAGACTTACTAATGTCATGTGGATATTTTATGTGCAACTATTTATGTGAATCTCCCCTGTATTTTATAGAGTAGAGACATTTTAAAATGAGTAAAGTGTTTGATGCAGTGTATATTTCAAGCTTTTGTACTGGGGTAACTTTCTGATCTTCAGTTATGATTTGGGGCAATAGCACAGTGAAACATATGCATCTCATATTATTTTATTCTTACAGTAAAAATGAACCAGCAGAAGATATAAGAGTGTTTGGCAAGGTTTGTGCTGTATAAGTTTTTGCTTATATTTTTAAAATTTATTTTAATTTCATTTTTCCAGATTTTTACTTCTTCATGAATAATTTAAAAATAAAACAACAATGTATATTCTATCCGTGACTTAAAAAAAAAAAGTATCAATAAAATTCTTAACTGCTTTATAATTTTTGTTGTAGATGTTGCTGATGAAGCTAGAGTTTCAGTTTGATCAGTGGTTAACCAAGCACCTCAGAAGTGGAGCTTCACCTAAAGGGTAATTTACCTTATAACCAGTAATGGGGTGACCTAAGATTATAACACAAAAGCATTAGTGTTGGCAATGAGTACCCAGTTAATCGTCGAACGATGCGAGTATCGGTTAGTAAAACTGCTATTCGGTTACTCGGATAAAAATACATTTTTCATAGTAAATATGTATAAAATAATTTTTAAGTTATTTGTAATGTATATTGACACATTTCCCTATAATTTAATTACCGTTAGGGTTGCTCTAGTGGTTCACAAATAGAATCGATTTGTTTTAATTAGTTTAATTTTTTACTTTAATTGCCAGGGGGTACACGTTTTGAAAACCTGAGTTATAATTACTTCATTTAGACCCATGTTAGTCAGAGGGACATACTTTAACAAGATGCTGCCACAAACATCTAAAGCTTGGAAATATTGTTAAAGAACGACTGACTCGAAATCTGTCAGATGCAAATCATTTTGAATCGAAGTTGTCGTGTACGGGTGGAACTACAGATATTCTAAATCACCTTTAATTTAAACTCATTTCGAAAAAAAAAATAAACCGGCTATCCATTTTCGCTCGACGATTCTTAGCCATTCCCGCTAGTTCATTACCATCAGAACGCGTTTTCTCTATGACAGGAAATGTTATCATAAAGTTGCAAAATCGTTTGTCCTCATATGTTGATAAAATTAAGTAGATTGCCGCTACAGGTGACATTTAAAATCAAAATTCTTCAAAGATATTGTATGTGGGTTTCTTTGAGTTTATATTCATATAGTGTTCATATATGTAACATTTGTGGTTTATTTCTACCAATAAGTAAAAGGATGAGATTAACAATAAAAAAAAACATCGGAGTAACCGGGTACTCGATTGGAAGTTTAAGCGAGTAACCGTTTACTAAAAATCGTCCGATTTGCCAACACTAAAAAGCATACAATGTTGTGATTTCTTGATACTTTAAAAGTAATCAAAAGCAATTAGTTTTAAAAAAAGGTTTGAATACCTATATATGCTCTAGTGCATGAATATCTATGTAGGATTTGTATTAAGGGAAAAGTAGTCATCAATTTTTACTTGACTGAAATTGAACAGAAATAGCTGTAGAAATCTAAATCTCAAGAATTTGATATATTCCTTATATTGTTTTGATTACTGTAAACGTGGAAATTTTGACGATGTGCTAATTTTGACTATATTGACGATTCTTCTTTTCTCGTCAAAATTTACACTCGTCAAACTTCTTATCATATACATAGAGACACAACAGACATTGACCATTGTACAACTTTACCGCTAATTTTTTAACGGCTTTTTCGTTTGACAACGAGATCAAAGTCACTGTTAATTTCTTTTGTAATTAGTTATGAAAACATAGTGATATAAAATCACATTTTTTAAAAACCATTGAATCTAAATTAGTGTATCAAATACTGCAAGCGTAATTTAGCGTAATTATCACGCCGTGCTTGACCTTGTTTGTCACCTCAGGCATTTGACCGCTTATAATGAAATCAAATTACAAGAGGGCAATTTATTTAATCAAATCTTACACACATAGTTTATACAAAAATTAAATTTTAGTGATTCCGTCGCTGCCTTTGTATCCCTGTGAATTCAAAGATTTGAAACTCTAGATTAAATATTTCGTCAAAATTAACACTCGTCAATTTTCGTAAACAAAAAATCGTCAATTTTTCAACTCGTCAATATAACCACGTTTACAGTAATAGTAACACTTCTCACTGCAGAAAAAGTCCAGGCTCAGGTCTTCCATCAGAGATGCCCAAGTTCTGGGAGGAAGACATGGACTATATATTTGGGTTACAGGGTCAGTCAGAGGTCATGGGACCTTTGTGGCTACAGCACTGTGTCAGAGGTAAGATTGATTCAGTCCGACAAAAAAAGGAGGGGGGGTCAAAAACTAATCCTTGATTATACTGAGAAGTTATTTGCAAATTGGCAAAAAGCTGGAAGTATGGAAAATCAGATTGTAGTTTTAATACAATAATTTTGTGTCTGATGGTCAAGGATATAAACATTAAATGATTATTGATTCAATAGGTTTGCAGCTGTTTTTAAGAATTGTGCATTTTTTTCCCCTTCAAAGCTTTCTGGCTGCAGGCTCGGCTGTGTCTACTAC